AATAATTAACAAATTAAGGCCAGGCGTGGTGGCTCATCCCTTTAATCCCAGCACTTTGGGAGGCCGAGGCGGGCGGATCACTTGAGGTCAGGTGTTAGAGACCAGCCTGGCCAATAAGGTGAAAACCCATCTCTACAAAAAATACAAAACTTAGCCAGGGGTGATGGTGTGGGCCTGTAATCTCAGCTACTCAGGAGGCTGAGGCAGGAGAATCGCTTGAAACCGGGAGGCGGAGTTTGCAGTGAGCCAAGATCATGCCACTGCACTCCAGCCTGGGTGACAGGGCAAGACTAGTCGGGCGTGGTGGTGCACGCCTGTAGTCCCAGGTACTCAGGAGGCTGAGGCAGGAGGACTACTTGAGCCCAGGGAAGTCGAGGTTGCAGTGAGCTATGATCACACCACTGCCCTCCAGCCTGGACGACAGGGCGAGAACCTGTCTCAAACAAAAGTCCAGACCCACAGACGTATTCATCAGGTGGATCCCGGAGGCAAGAGAAAGAGTCACGAAATCTAGGCTGTGGTTCCAGTGACGCCACTCAGTACCTTGGGCCTTCGGGGCTCATTAACACCGGGCTCGCCTCCACTACCTCCTCCGGGCAGTGGTTGGAATCAAGGTCTGAAAGCACGGAATTCACGGAAAGGCCAGGGTCGCCAGCCGGGATGGGCGCGGTGGGCCCGGGTTCCCGCCTCCTGGAGCAAGCCACAGACCAGACGGGTGGGGACCTGCGCTCGCTCAGGCCCCGAGGCCTGCTCCCCGCTCCCTCTGCCGCGCCGGGCCGGGACTCACCTCGCAAGGCCCCACGAAGAGGATCTTGGCCTTCAGCATCGTCGTCCGCCGCGGCGTAGCAGGCCGGAGCCCACCGTAGCCGGCGCGTTAGGGCAGAGAGCTCCCGGGCCGCTTTCGTTTCCATGGCGACGGCGAGCGGCCCGCAGGGGCCGACGGGACTCGGCCACTTCCGGCGCGCGGGGCGGAAAGTGGGCGCGTCTGTGACTGGGTGGGGGTTGGAGAGAAGTCACAAAGCCCGGGCTGCAGACGCGGTTCTGCAGGGTTGGCCTCTATTTCTTTTAGAGACAGGGTTTCACTCTGTCGCTCAGGCTGGAGGGCGGTGGCGCGATCTCGGCTCACTGTAGCCTCCAACTTCTGGGCCCAAACGATCCTTCTGCCTCAGCCTCCCGAGTAGCTGGCGCTACAGGCACACGCCATCACGTCCGACTAATTTTTAAAATTTTTGTATTTGTAAGACCGGGTTTTGCTATGTTGCCGAGGGTGTTTTCGAACTCCTGGGCTGAAACGATCCTCCCACCTCCACCTCCCCAAAATTCTGGGACTGCAGGCCCGTTCCATCAGTCTCGGTAGAGACGCGGAAAGCAAGACTCCAGGAGGGGGCGGAATGGCCGTTTCCAAATCTTTGTTCCTCCCAATAATCCTGAGAGCACAGACAGGCCATCCAAGTGGCAAGCGGGCCTTGGAACCAGGTTTTGACTCCTTTATCACTGTGGCATGATATCACTGTGGCTGTCCATTTGGGAGCCGATTTATCATAGCTGTGACCCAGCTTAAAAAAGCTCAGGTGAAAGTCTGGTTTCTGTAAAAGGATTCACCATTCACTATCATTCGTCTGACCTAGGTGAAACCAAAGAGATGATGGCTGGAATCCTTTAGTCAGTGCAGGTGTCTGGAAACATTGCTGCTAAATTCAATCAGTTAGGTCAGTCTGAAAATACGGAGTCAAGTCAGAGTTTCGGGTAAGGCCATGATATTAAATGTCTCTATGCCGAGAGTGCCGGTGCAAAATATTCTGGCCCACAAAGGGCTGACAAGACAAAAATTCCTCGTCAACCCACTATCAAATCTTTAACCTTCGGTAACATAGTTACATAGTCTTTGTATTGAAAAGAACTGCTTGGCCAACCTCCGTAGCCCAGGCCTGTAATCCCAGCACTTTGGGAGGCCGAGGCTGGTGGATCGCTTGAGGTCCGGAGTTCGAGACCAGCCTGGCCAACATGGTGAAAACTGTCTCTACTAAAAATACAAAAATTAGCTGGGTGTGGTGGCACGCACCTGTAATGCCAGCTACTCAGGAGGCTGAGGCAGGAGAATCACTTGAACCAGGGAGGCAGAGGTTGCAGTGAGCCAAGATGGCATCACTGTACTCCAGCTTGGGTGACAGAGCAAGACTCTGTCTCAAAATAAATAAATAAAAATAAATAACTGCTGAGTGAACAGTAAGGAAGAGTTCTTAATTTCAGCATGTCATTGTTGATGGATTAAATTAATATCTTTTTTTCTTTTCTTTTTTTTTTTTTTGAGACAGGGTCTTGCTGTGTTGCCCAGGCTAGAGTGCAGTGGTGTGATCTCAGTTCACTGCAACCTCCGCCTTCTGGTTTCAAGTGTTTCTCCTGCCTCAGCCTCCCAAGTAGCTGAGATTACAGGTGCACGCTACCATGCCTGGCTAATTTTTGTATTTTTAGTAGAGATGGGGTTTTGCCATTTTGGCCAGGCTAGTCTCAAACTACTGACCTCATGATCTGCTTGCCTCGGCTTCCCAAAGTGCTGGGATTACAGGCATGAGCCACTGTGCCCAGCCAGTCCTCATTTTAAAAGGTATCCATTTTTTTTTTTTTTTTGAGACAGGGTCTTGCTGTGTTGTCCAGGCTGGAGTGCAGTGGTGCGATCATAGCTCACTGCAGCCTTGACCTCCTGGCCTCAAGAGATCCTCCCACCTCAGCCTCCCAAGTAGCTGGGACTACAGGCACGTGCCCTACATCTGTTTTTTTTTTTTTTAATTTTGTGTAGAGATGGGGTCTTGTCATGTTGCCCAGGCTGGTCTCGAACTCCTGACCTCAAGCGATCCTCCCATCTCAGCCTCCCAAACTGCTGGGATTACAGGTGTGAGCCACGACGCCTGGATTTGCTTTCCTGTTTTATACACTGGTTTACAATCTGGATTCACTTTGATGCTCAAATTGCCATTGATATGGCCACTGGGAATGTTGTCGAGCTGGTTTCTGCATCTTTTTGAAATATCTTTCTGTGAGCCATTCCTTTCTTTTTTGGCGCCCGTACATGTTCCCAGGGGGTTATTTTATTGCTATTGCTTTATAATCACCATATACTATATACATTCTTTTTCTATGTATTAAAAAATTTAAAGATTCAAAAGTTCAAGGAAACGAAAAAGAAGTTGTTCCTTTTCACACCTGGGAAAATTGGGGAAAATTTTGCTCCTCCTATTTTTGGCATGAAACATACACTCTTAGGTCTCTGGCCCTGACTTTGGGAGAACTGGTGCCAGGCACAGGGGTAGGTGCTGGGTTCTGGAGGTGGTTCTGCACAGTCCCTTTGCCCTGGTAGCTTCTATGCCAGATGGGGAGACCAGCCTGTGGAATGCAGCTTGTCAAGTGTTTTCCCATGCACAGGCTTTCTTTTTCTTTTTTGAGATGGAGTCTCACTCTGTCGCCCAGGCTGGAGTGCAGTGGCATGATCTCGGCTCACTGCAACCTCTGCCTCCCAGGTTCAAGCGATTCTCCTGCCTCAGTTTCTTGAGTAGCTGGGATTACAGGTGTTTTGCCCCCTGGGCCACTAATTTTTGTATTTTTAGTAGAGACGGGGTTTCGTGATGTTGGTCAGGTTGGTCTCGAACCCCTGACCTCAAGTCCTGTCTGACCTGCCCGCCTCGGCCTCTGAAAGTGCTGGGATTACAGGCCTGAGCCACTGAGCCCAGCCCCATGTACAGTTTAATTTTCATTTGCAAATGGAGCTTTTACAGTAAGGCAAAGTATGAGTATCCTAAATCGATATCAGGGAGGAGGTAGGAACCATGGGCTTTCAGCAGCTCCAGTTCTCCTTTCTTTTATTTTCTTCTTTTTCTTTCTTTTTTTTTTTTTTTGAGATGGAGTCTTGCACTGTCACCCAGGCTGTAGTGCAGTGGCGAGATCTCGGTTCACTGCAACCTCCACCTCCTCAGTTCAAGTGATTATCCTGCCTCAACCTCTCGAGTAGCTGGAATTACAGGCACGTACCATCGTGTCCAGCTAATTTTTGTATTTTTAGTAACAACAGGGCTTCACCGTGTTGGCCAGGCTGGTGTCAAACTGCTGACCTCATGGGATCCGCCCGCCTCGGCCTCCCAAAGTGCTGGGATCACAGGCGTGAGCCGCTGCGCCCAGCCCAGTTCTCTTTTCTATTTATAAAGATGCCATTTCCCCTCTGTGCACAGTAATGGTTTTGCCTCTTGCCAGGTCCAGAGTCCAGGCTTCCTCACCTCGGTGTTTACTTCATTGCACTGGGTGGAAGTTTGTGTGCTACATTTCTTAACAACACATGCCTTCACTGAAGGGTATCATTGGTGTTTGGGTCCACTGATCACAACTCTAAGCCTGGTACACCATAGATGCTCAATAGTGTTGGTTCTGGGCCAGTGCAGTGGCTCATGCGTGGAATCCCAGCACTTTGGGAGACTGAGGTGGGAGGATCACTTGACACCAGGCATTTGAAACCAGCCTGGGCAATAAGCAAGACCCTGTCTCCACACACATACACACACACACACACACACACACACACACACACACAATCAGCCAGGTATGGTGGAATGCCTGTAGTCCCAGCTACTGGGGAGGCTGAGGTGAGAGGATCGCTTGAGCCTAGAAACTTGAGGCTGCAGTGAGCCACGATCGTGCCATTGCACTGTAGCCTCAGTGACAGAACGAGACCCTGACTCAAAAAAATAATATTAAGCCGGGAGCGGTGGCTCACACATGTAATACAGATGTGATTTTGGGAGGCTGAGGTGGGTGGATCACCTGAGGTCAGGAGTTGGAGACCAGCCTGGCCAATATTGTGAAACCCCTGTCTCTACTAAAAATACAAAAATTAGCTGGGCGTTTTGGTGGGCACCTGTAATCCCAGCTACCTGGGAGGCTAGGCAGGACATTTGCTTGAACCCAGGGGGTGGACGGAGGTCGCAGTGAGTGGAGATCATGCCATTGCACTGCAGCCTGGGTGACAAAGCGAGACTCTGTCTCAAAAAAAAAAAAAAAAAAAAAAAAAAAAAAAAAAGGGCGTGCGTGGTGGCTCATGCCTGTAATCCCAGCGCTTTGGGAGGCTGAGGCAGGCAGATCACCTGAGGTCAGGAGTTCGAGACCAGCCTGGTGCAACATGGTGAAACCCCATCTCTACTAAAAATACAAAATTAGTCAGATGTGGTGGTGCACGCCTGTAGTCCCAGCTACTCGGGAGGCTGAGGCAGGAGAATCGCTTGAACCTGGGAGGCAGAGGTTGTAGTGAGCTGTGATAGTGCCACTGCACTCCCACCTGGGCAACAGAGTGAGACTCCATCTCAAAAACAAAAAAAAAGATAAAAGACGTGTAAGTTTCATCTTCCCCTTCATAACACACACATAGAAACACATACATACTCATTTACTCTATAAATATTTAAGTTAATGAATGTTCCCTTAATCCTCCCAAGAGCCTTTAGTTTTTGGTCCAGGTGAGAGAAATAAAAAATATGAAATGCTTTACATTTCTTCAATATATGTGCTGTATACATTTGGGATGATTATTGTAAATTATTGAAATACTTTTGCTTTATGACTTTCATTTTAATTAGAAGAGGTTGACTTCAGACAGCTTAATACCCAGCCTTTGATTGTAAAGTGAGCAATAGATCATTAGCGGGGGTGAGAACTGGGTGAACTCAGAGTCATTTTTCTCCTCCTTCTGTGTTTCAATGCAATAAAATCTTTCTCTTGCATAAAACCTAAAGAAATAAGTTTGACATATTTCAAATCCCTTCTATAAATTGTTGAAAAGATTTAATATAACCCCCAGCCATAAAATCTTTAATTTGAGTTGACCCTCCATGGTCTCAATGATTACACATGCAGTTTTTATTACTAAAGAATAAATTGTGGGTTTCCTGTGACTCAAGGGAATCAAATGCCCTTCAATCACCTTCTGCAACGCGAGGATTTGAACCTTTTCCGTTCAACTCTTGAAGACGGGAATTTCACAAAATGGTTTGTAACCTGGAAATATTTTGTCCCCTATGAATGCTGTCATCTTTTTTTTTTTTTTAATTTTAAAAAAGGAATAAAGCTCTAGCCAGAGATGATGTCCAGCAAGTTTGGTTTAGGACAAATCGATGTAAAAATGACTTTTCATCAATTCCCATTAGAAAGCCTGAGCTATTCTTTCAATATAAAAAATATTTCCTAGCCAACTGAAGATAAAGCTTTTGGCAAAGCAGTGAAACAGGGATACGGCTGGACCAGCAGCCTGTAGCCTGCATTCGGCCGTGTCCTGTAGAAGGGATTTTGGGAGGCAGTGTTGTGTCATGGAAAAAGTACCAATTTTGGAGTAAGACAATTTGAAATTAGGTGAGTGAGGCCGGGCGTGGTGGCTCACACCTGTAATCCTAGCACTTTGGGAGGCCAAGGTGGGCAGATGGCTTGAGGCCAAGAGTGAAAGACCAGCCTGGTTGCCGGACGCAGTGACTCACGCCTGTAACCCCAGCACTTTGGGAAGCTGAGGCGGG